AGGAAGGCCTGCAGTTTTTACAGCAGCCCAGTTAATAATTTCAATTACTCGTTGATGAGTACAAGGTACCTAAGACTCACATTCAATTTAGAATTTGCATGGAATTATTTGCTTTTCTGCAATCAAATGTGGTTTGTGGCTGTGTTTGCTGGCACCATACTGGGTTCGATTTTCATGAGATATCGAAATTATTATTCCACAACCAAGTAATTACGAATAAATGAGTAAACTTTTAATATTATAAATGTGAAAGTTTGTGAGCGAGTAAGTGAGTATGTTTGTTACTCTTTGACGTTAAATGGCTGAACTTTTTTAAGAGTTGCCGCCTGTTAAAATTTTCAAATAGATGAAGTAATAAGATTAGAAAAATAGCATAAAAATGTGTATGTCAAACGAAACCAGTGCAAAAACTTTTTTTACTAAAATATTCTTTAGAAAGGTTGCCACCTTTTTAGAAACTTGTGATCGATAATATAAACAAAGCCAATGAAGTACCCAAATGTGAGCATTGTACGAGAGAAGTTTGAGCAAGTTTTATTTCGAAAATATTTTTAAGTTGGTTGCCACCTGTTTGGTAATTCATTTAGAATATTATTCACAATTTAACTGACAAGTTAAACGAAATATTTTGATGTGCGTATTAAACAAGGAAGATCTAAGAAAGATGAGTTTTGGAAATATCCTTAAGAGGGTTGCCACCCGTTGAAAAAGTTTAAATCAGTTTAATTAGCGAACTAAAGGAAATATATTAAAGAAGCAATATTTTCAACTTTTCCACGCATTTCGCTGTCAAATTGAGAAAAGGAAATTCAATAAAATCGTAAAATTTAAAGAAAATTTAGCTAAAGAATTTTTTTTTAATAAAATCAAAAAATTAAAAAAAAATTTAATGAACAAAAGAAAAATAAATTAAATTAAAATAATAACATAATAAATAGAAACAGTTTCTAAAAATGAAATCAAATGAAAATTATATATTTTTTTATAAACATTAAAATTGCAAAATTTAAAAAAAATTTTACTAAAAGAGAAAAATTAATAACCAAATAAAATACGTAAGTTCCTAAAACTTAAATGAAATTAAAAACAAAATATTCTTAAAAAAATATAACTAAGAAAGAAAAAATTAAATCAAAATGTAAAAAATGTAAAAAGGAAATTAATTTAAAATTTAATACAATCTCAAAATTAAAAGATAATTACATAAAAAAAATTTATTAAAATACAAAAAAAAAATTCCTCTGCTCCAGGACTCGAACTCGATTCTCTCGGATTGCACGCCAGTGCTCTGCTCACTCGGCCATTGCGTCTGTTGGAGCGACGAATGGAGAATGGTATACAAGTGCTTTCTCTCACAATAAATTTTCACCACGAGTGGTGAATGAAAGAGCCTTTTTTCTAAGACTTTTGTCCTAGAATATCAAAAGTCTTTCGAACTATCTGGCCATTTGCATCATTTTAATGGTCATACAAAAGATTTTTTACAATCTTAGCCAGAATTGCTCTGTTATATTAGTAATTCAGATATATCTAATTGCTGGCTAAACACTTCTGTGGTCGCAATTTAAAATTTCGAAGCAAAAATTTATAATTTTAAACAGTTCTTATGTGTATGTATACATATTTGATACGATTTCGAATTCAATAATTGTTCGGTAGACACCTATATACTAATAAACGCTTTGCTTTAAACTTACCTTTCCCAGTCCATACCGACACTTGACGACAAAAGAAGCACTCAAGTGTTATGTCGAGATACAAGTGTGAACAAAAAGTAATAATAAGTGTGTATGTACGCGAAAGTACAAAACACGATGCAGAATTTTGAGAAAAATTACAAAGCAGAGCAGCAGAGCCAAAAAGAGCAGTGGGCGTAATAAACAATAAGGAAGTGCAAGTCAGGTTGTCTTCATAATCCAAATATACCTATACATATATATATACAGACATACATATTTACATGGCCTAAAACCATATTTACATTTGAACTCAATTTACCGCATAAGTTCTTGTTTTAAATATTTGTAAAGGTTATTTATTTTTTAGTTGTAATCTATTATGAAGCAGATGTTTTAGAAAATGAATTGAAATAGCAGCCAAGGGGTTTAATATTTCCAAAATGGATTAAAATAAATATATGTTAGACCATACCTAGCCACATTGAATACAAAAAACGTGCCTAAGGAAAAGTAAACAGGCAAAATACGAGCACAATGACATCACACATTCACATGTACATACATATATGCACACCACTACAAATAATCACCTAAGGATTCTTTCCAATTTGCTGACTTGTATGTTTTTCCACTCGACTAGTTACACCAACTAAATATGTATGTGTGAACTCACAAGGCAGGCGGAACTTTTGTCGACTTACAGAAGTCCGGCAAAGTGTTAACACTTTACCTAAGTAGTTAGTTGTAGTTAGTATATAATGTACAAGTAGTGTTATGAGCAGTGTTGCCAGAACTTTTTGGGCCGACCGGCTAGATTGGCAAAAAAAAGCGGCTAAAAACGGCTAAAATGTTTTAGTGAAATTTCACATAGACTCTGGCAAAAAACGGCTAAAATGTTTTAGTGAAAATCCACATGCTTTATTTAAATAAATCGCAAGAAACGAAAGACTAGTTAACACCATTAATTTATATCGAGTGTATATTCCTCATCATCAAATGAATCACTATTGTATATATCACCTGAATTCATTAATTTTAAGAGATCGTCATCTACAGTAAAATTATGGCAGCATTTTTCTTCACGTTTTAAACCGTATCTTATATATAAAATAGCGTTTAACGTTTTAACGCACATTGGATTTCTTTGCTTAGTTTTTATTATATTC